TTGAGTCGTCATGGGATGGCCTCGTCAGGAGGTTTACACGGATTGCAAGATCATCGAGGACCCCGTCTTGCATCTTGGGCCACGGCTTGTTGCCTCCTTTTCACTGGACATCCTTTCAGTATGAATCGATCTACATTCGGATTCATAGATTCATGATTGTTAGTATGTGAGTCGTAGTATCCGTAGCTTTCTCAGGGGTTTTCTTTTTTGAGAAAACAACACAAGTTGATAGAATCTAAATCCCGACGCCTCCATCCTCTGCTTGGATTGCCTTCCGAACCATGAGATGCATCGAAGGAAATCGCCCATCGCCATCCCTCCGTCTAGTGATTCACCACGCTACTCCCTCTCTCTCCGATCGAGACGACCCTCTTTCCCTTTGACTTGGCACCGTGTTCGATTCCATGGTGTTATCGCCGATCAGCCATTGGGGAAGGGTTGGCGTTCGAGAGGAGAGCGACTTTGATTTTATTTTTGGCTTCTCTCACTTCTTTCTTGATTTCAGCCTCGCAAAGCGGACGCAGAGGCGATTGATCCGATTCAGGAAACTTGGGAGATATCCTCTCCTGACCTTTTTCTTTTAGCCGCTGGCATGTAGGTCTACAAAAGTTACACCTGTGCGGCTCGAGGCATGATCATGGCTCACTCACTCCAAGTTTTTCGCCCTTCTTATTCACGACTACAGGCAACACTCCTGAGGGAGCGTTTTGTGATCTCACCATGGCTTGTGATTCGTCGAAAGGGTGAAAAGGTATGTGCATGGGAAGGAGCAGGGGGAGTGAGGGGGTTTGGATATAAAAAGGAATAAATGATGAAGGAAAGATAAAAAAAAAACCGGGGTGACGAGGGAGGAGACGATTTCAAGTTGGTAGGCTGGTTTGGTCGGCTTTGCATGAAGTGTGATTGGTTGCACTCGATCGCGGTTGCCACTGATAAGTTTCGTCGATAAGGGAGGGATGCAGAGAGATAGCGAGATAGCCTCTCCCTCGCCTTGAGACAGGGTGGGGGACCCTTCTAATTCGCAAGAGGTGCTGTTAGAGTTGAGGTGAGATTACAAAAACGATTCACGAACTGAAAGCAAGGCAAAAAAAAATTAGAGGGCCTTTTGATGGACAATTAAAAGAGGTAGGGTGAGGAAACCGAATCGGATGAATTTTGAAATGGAGGAAATTCGATCTGACTATATTTTACTCTAATCTGTTTGCGCGCTTCACTCGGGTTAGCGCGGGGGGGAATAGGAAGGAGAGATAAGGAAAAGTGAGGCGAAGAGCCACCAATGTGAATGTAGAGGTGGAAATGGGCAAAGCTCATGCCACCTACTCTCGTGAGTGGAGCCTACGTTGTCGAGAAGGGCCTTTGTCTCGACCTGGGCCATGTGCCCACTTGGGTGCAGTGCGGGAAACGCTTGATTTTAGGGTTTTTTTTTTATTGGTTTTTTGGTCATCTTTTTTTTCCGTCGCACTTCCTGGGAGGGGCTGCGACGTGCTGTGCAGATGGAGCCATGCGTTTGCATTTCCACCTGCGTACAGATACCACTATCCGTCCTTGTGCGCAAGCTGTACTTGTGATTCTAGGTTCATTCTGTACGTTCATACATAGACTCCATGTTCGTGCAACACAGGCGAGTGTGAGCAGAGAGAGAGTAGCTTCTTCCTCGAGTTGGCTCGCATCGCCCGAGCCAGTCAAGAATGATCGAGCGAATGGTTCTCGACTTCATTTGAGATTCCCTCGGGCTCTCTCGCACACATCTCTCTCTCTCTCTCTCTCTCTCTCTCTCTCTCTCTCTCTCTTCCCCCTTGGAAAGGATGAGGTCGAGTCTGGGACCTCGCCAGGCTCTATCGACCGTGGCCAAGCGAATGCGGTTTGCAGATGCAAATCAGTCAGGAAGGACGAGAGGGAGGCGGAGACAGAAAGACCAAACTTCCGACTGGAGAAGACCCCCTCCCCCTCCTCGGGATGAAATGGTCGCCAAGGAGAAAACCGGGTTTGGTTAGTGGGTGACCGTCAAACAAATCAGATCTCACCGATTTCCTGACCTTTGGTCCCCTTCCGCTCCTTGCCCTCTGGGTTTACCCTTCCCTCTCTCGTTCCTTGCTTGGAAAAGGGGGCCAAGGAACAACCCACATGGTTGAGGGCTTCTCAAGGAAGGGTGGGAATAACATGTTGAGACGAAAGAAAAGGTGTGCAGCGCGGTATCCTGCAAGAGGTCCGTCATGCGTCGCAGTCGGACCGAGATGTTTGTGAGTGCATGCTATTGCATACGCTTAATAGTCTGTGAGCCTCCTCCTTCTCTCTTGCTCGATTCTCCTCCCTTTGCGCACCGCCAGCACGGATAAGGCTGAAGGATGGTTGACACTGTACTCTTACTGCGGAACTATCGCATGGATTCCCATCGGATCGTGCGTATAGCACGGCGCCAGTATACCTGCGACTGACTGTGCGGAACAGCTGCACTTGGTTTCATGACATGTCCACCTTGTTATACCCAAGCCCCCAGCAAGGAAAAAGGTAAGCCCTCGACAGGCCAATCAGATCTCGATTCGACATGTGGAAAGGGGCAAAGGGCAGGAGGCAAGGTTTCCCTTCCCCTGCCTCCCTTCCCGACTCGCGAACCGGGGTTTGATTTTCGAATCGGAATGATCCGCCTTCCGAAGCGACTCGAGACCACCGCCACCTCGAATGAGTCCTGTCGCGTGGAGTCCCCCGCGCGCGCCCCCTCCGCTTCCCATTCCGACCTCAATCAAGTGTGGTTAAGTGAACGCTCCTTTCCCCTCATGGATCACTCTCTCTCTCTCTCTCTCCCCCTCCTCAACTCTCGAAGTTCTGGAGGAAACAAAGGAGAAGAAGAAGGTGAAGGATTGTGCAAGGGAAGGAAAGAGGTTATTCGATCGATTGTTTATCCAACGAATCGTGGCTCGTCGGCGTCACAAGGAAGTTTTTTTTTGTTTTTGTTTTTGTTTTTTTTAAAAAAAAGAAAAAGTTTTATTTTTGGAACTGTCCGGCAAGTAAAGAGCAGAAGGAAAAACTTTTTTCTCCTTCCCCCCCCCATTCAACGCACCCTCTCCGAAATGTCTTTCCTCGCTGTTGCTTCGGTGCGAGGTGGATAGTTTGGAGGGTGGTTATTTTTTTTTGCTCTTTTTTTATTTGTTTTTTGTTTGGAAGTTTTCCCCTACCATGCCAAAAGGCCTTGCGATTCGAGAAGGGACCTCCCATCGGTGGCTTGATTGGGCTGTCCCTTGAGGAAGGAAGGAAGGAGGGAGGGAGGGAGGGAGGAGCCGGTATATGCCGAAGAAGCATGAGAGCATGAAATTCCCAACTGCAGAGACAGAGAAAAGAAAGAGGGAGAAAAAATCAAAACAGTTGCCTTCTGTGCACGACGCGCGTAGGCAGAAAGTCAGGAATGTGCGTTCTGTAGCAACGACCAGCGCCCTCAAGCTCTGGTAGCTTGGACTATTTGATGGTCACCGCAGGTCGTTGGCTTCTCCATCAAACCAAATCAATGCCGAAAGGGGGAAGGGGGAGGGGGAAGCCGAACTCGGAACTTGAGATGGTTTTCCCTGCCTTTTCACAAAGAGAGAAGAGTTTTGGGTTGGGGGAGGACGGGCAGGAATAAGCATCTTGGTGAAGACCAAGCGATCGGGGTATTTTTGACGATCTGACCCTTCGATCCCAGCGGGCCGAATCAGTTGATGAAGATGATCCTTCGGCGAGAGGGGAGCGAGAGTGAGAGAATGAGAGAGAGAGAAGAAAAAAAGGTAAAACGACCTCCAGATCCAAGTTCGTGCCCAGCCAAGGTTAGGATGTGCAGCGATCGCTTCCTGTCGCGTTCCTGAATTCAACCGAAATCCAAGCCACGGGTCGCCCTTTTTCGATCTGCTCTCTTCAAATTTGAAATATGTACTGTATCTACTCTACTTACAAACCCCATATCGTCCTTTTCCTATAGGCGGAGGCTTGCAGACCCCGGGGAAGAAAAGGAGGAGCGGTTGAAACCCCCCGCTCCAAAAGGGAAAGAGAGGAGAGTAGGAAAGGATCCAGAGCAGGAAGCCGAAATGCGACCAAGAGCCGTCAGGTCGAAGGAGAAACCCTGCCAACCCCATGGGATGTCCAAGCAGAAAGGATGGGAGGGGGGGGGGGGCACGACGGAAAAAATGACTCTTCCCTCTTGGCAGGGTCGACAGGCAACAGTACTATCTAGAGCTAACTTGCACCTTGAGTCGCTACGTGGACGTTAAAAAGCTTCCAAGCTTGCACACCTTGGACACTTCTTGGATCGGAAAAAAGGATTGGAAAGAACGATGGGAAGAGAAGGGGGGGGGGAAGTCTCTCGACTTGGATCCCTACCTCGTCTTGACCGGATTAATTGCGAGAAGCGGGTGAGGGAGACCCCGGCGTACTCTATGCACCTGTCCAGCTAGCCAAGGGGGACGGCGACTTGATGAGAGGCATCGAGAAGGAAGAGGGAGAAGGGGAGGGAGGGGCTCTTGTGACGCCCGTGGACTCTGTCACCTCGAGTGGTTGACTGGCCGTCCTGCGCACTTGGGAATGCGAAAATCGTTGGTCTGTGGCAAGTCCTAACAGAAAAAGGAAGGAAATGGGGGAGAGACCGATTTTTACCTATTCTTTTTTATTTCCCCCCTTTCTCTGGAAGAAAAGACCGAGAGAGGTTGGGGGCGAGAAGAAGAGAAAGCGGCCGCAAGGAAAGGGTGCAAGAAAAGGGTGCAAGAAAAGGGTAGAGAAAGTACTCGAAAATCCCGAAGAAAAAAGGAGAATAACCCCCCCCCCCCCCTCCCCCCTTACTCAAGGAAGAGGATGTGGTTTGAGCAACGATCTCCTACTACCCGCTTGTGACACCTGTTCAAAAAGTGACTCGCTACCAATGTCGAGGAGGAAGGAAGATACCCAGGCAAGCGAGGGAACTTCTTCAATATCGGTCCCCGTTTCATGGAAAAAGAAAAGCTACGGAAAGGATTGAAGAGGAAAAGGAAAAAAAAGATGAGTGCTCCCTACTAGGCTCGAACTAGTGACCTTCCGTTTTGTGGTGCTATCCGACTGTTCTGTCGGGCATGTCTATTAGACGGATGCGATAAACCAACTACGCTAAGGAAGCAAGTCACGTGACAAAGCACTGCCTGTTGTACTACATCAATCCACAATATATATTTCAAGCTGAAGGGATGCAGTGCGAGAAGCTGTGATGGGATGAGATGCATGAGTTGGTGTAGGTCTCGAAATCCGAGATAAACAAAAGAACGGAAAGAGAAAATGAGAAGAAGAAAGAACCCTCGCATGATGTTTGACAAAAGGAATGCTCCCTACTAGGCTCGAACTAGTGACCTTCCGTTGTAGGGGTGATCTGATGGAATCATCAGGCACTGTCTTATTAGACGGATGCGATAAACCAACTACGCTAAGGAAGCATTTGTTGGGAGTGGGAAAAAAACAGAAAATATATAACAAAAGATAGAAAATATATCTCAAAACATAGAGAGTTAATCCCTTCCTTGTAAAATCAGGCCATTTATTTCATACTGAGTGCGAGCCGAAACTGCGAAAATCGTACCACTTCCGACAGAGGAGAGGGGGAGAGGCAAGAGAAGAAAGGCTCACGATTCGAAGGGAGATGATCGCCGTCTCAACCCGACCAAACACTGATGGAAACCACCTCTTCGTTCACCTACTCTCTCCACCTCGAAGGATACAGATCGCTTCAACACAGGTAGGCCAGTTCAGGTCATGTCAGGCCAGAATCATCATTTTGCATCCACCTGATCTTGGAGCGAATCTACCCAAACCATACCCAACCTCTCATGGACCACCTTTCCTGGCCTCACATCAAGCCACCCACGCCACCCCTCCGATCCACACGCCACCAGCCAACCATCCCATCCAGCCATCCATCCAGCCATCCAGCCATCCAGCCATCCAGCCATCCATCCACCCATCAACTTCAATTCAAACCTGGCTGCTTTTGTCTGCGATGCAAAAGTTTCTCGCCATCTTCTTCGTCATACTCTTTCCAGTAGCCTGATTTTCTACATCGTCCCCCTCTGCACCTGAATACCTGGTTCTCCACTGCACCAGTTTAAGCCAGGATCGTCCAATTCCGGTCTCGGACACCACCACCTGCCTGCCCGCTCTGTTTCCTCCCTTCCCCTCACCCCCCCTCCTTCACCCAACCAAACAACCACCGACCTACTGCATCTCTCCCCTCTTTCCCTCTCCCCTATTCCCTCCTGTCTGTTGTTGCCTCCGATCAAAGCATACAGACTGCATACAGTTTCAAACACCTAGCCAAAGAGCTCCCCTACCGTCTCTACCTCTGGCCACCTACTCCCAAACTCTTAACAAGGACCATGGCGGCCATCATCCCTCCCAACCAGACCGAGAGGGATAAGCGAATGGCAGAGCTTGAGGTCCTCCAACCGTACGCCCAGCAACCTCAGAACCCTTTCAACCCATCTTCGCTACCACCTCAACCCCTCTCCCAATCTCAACACAACTTCTACAGTCCGCCACCGCCTATCGCAAGCTTATCACCCTACAACCCACAGCTGCAACTGAGCCCAAGGCAGATGCTCGCCGCCCAGCAACACTTTGGCTCCTCGCTCTTGCCACAGCAGACCAACAAGCAGGCAGAGGAAGAGGCCGCCGCCTGGCAGACCGACGAGTATGACCTCTTCCTCAAGAACCTCTTCGATGGCAACAACACTGTCTCCAACCACGCGGCCCCAGGGACTGACATGGACCCTGCCATGAGCAGCTTTTCCGGCTCCCACTCTCATTTTTCAGGCAACAGCGACAGCGGTACCAGTCCCGGCAGTTTCCACGACTTTGTCTTCGGCAACGGGAGCAACAGCTTTGGTACTCCTCCGGGAAGCGATGTTGGAAGTTCCAGCTATGGAGGTAGGAGCGCTTCCTTCTCCATCCAGGCCGACGCAAAGAGCATGGGCATCGAGATGGACATGAGCAACGGCAGCTTCAGCGACCCTTTCACCGGCTCGGACTATGCTGGCACCTCTCCCAACATGGACTCCTCAAGTTACCTCTCGTCACAACCGCAACCCACCTTTAGCATCCACGAGCCAACCACCTCTCAGCTTGATCAGGCCATCTCTCCGTATGGAGCGAGTCCTGCAACGGCGATTAACTCCAACAGCCAGATACAGATCGGTCAAAGCCCTTCGAATTGGAACACAAACTTCCTGGCTCCTTCAGCAGCCATGTCCATGCAGACTGGCAGTGGTGTGCCAGCACCATCGTCAGAAGGTTTCCTGGGCGTGCCGACGTCTGCGGCCGTCCCACCTGCATCGTCCGACACTGTGACCGCCGGCCAAGTTCCGAGCCCGGACAGATCTGCACCGGAGAGCCGCAAGCGACCCGCGCCAACACCATCGCCAGATGCCCCGAGCAGGACAAGTACCGTAAGGCAAAGGCAATCGAAGGGAGAGACTAAACCTGTGGTTACTCCTCGTGCTACCAAGAAGGCAAAGTCCGCAGGGGCACCCCTTCCCGCTCCTACCAAGACTGCTCCGCCTTCGAACCGTACGATGAGCTCTCTTCCACACATGGAGGTCGGAAGTAAGTCAATCCGCTTTTTCAATCGGTCATGCTTGAACTTGTCGAGACTCAATGATTGACCACGTTCCTTCCCTACCCTCTTCCGTGTCCCCACAGGCAATGCCACAGCCCTTGCCGCTATCGAGAGACTCAAAGCGAAAAGGCAGAAAGCCGCCGACGAAGCCGCTGCGGCTCTTCTCGCCGCCAAGATGTCTGGCGGCGTGAAAGCTCCCCTGGCCTCGAGCGAGAAGGACCAGCAGACCGGAGCCACCTCCGTGACTCCGGCGATGAAACAGCAGAAAAAGGTTGCTCACAACGCCATCGAGAGGCGATACCGCAACAACATCAACGATCGAATCGCTGCTCTAAGAAACGCGGTCCCCGCCCTCCGCGAGCTTCGACCCAGGAAGACGCCGAGCGGGAGAAAGAGTCGAAAGGCGCAGACCGAAGAGGATCTCGTCGACGGTGTACCAGCCGCCACCAAGTTGAACAAGGCCACGATCCTCGGCAAGGCGACTGAGTACATCAAGTACCTCAAGTCGAGAGAGCTGAGGCTAGCCAGCGAGGTGACTGGTTTGCGCGAGCTCGTTCGAAGCTTGGAAGGAGGAGAGGAGCTGCTCGAGCTCTGGGAAAGTGAGATGGAGAAGGTCGTCGCTGAGCAGGAGGCCGCCGCCGCGGCCACCGTCGCCAAGGAGGAAGAGGATCTCGGGCTCGGCCTGGATGGAGAAGATGATGACGATGACGTCGAAGGGGAAGGGGAAGAAGACGATGGCGAAGAACTGGACACTTCGTCATCAAGACGTGAATCGGGCGCCAATTCACCGTCTTCTCGCGCATCCTCCAGGCCTGCTGGGCGAGGTGGGGGAGCTGGGAGCCTGGCAGGCATGGCCTCGTCGCGCTATATGCTGGCGACCTTCCTGGGAGTTAGTTTCCTCGGAGGAGGAGCCGAGTTTGCGGTCGACATGGGAGCCAGCGACTCGGTCTCTCGAGTGCCCGCTGGCCGCACCGTTGTTGGCGCTAGTCGGCAGCTCCTCAAGCGCGCTATCACTCACGTGCAAGTGCCTGAGGAGATGCCAGAGCCGCAGCCTCATCACCTCGACCACGTCCCATCCCACGTCCTTGTCTTCGAGATCCTCCGCGTCGTCTCGCTAGCCGCGTGCTTCTTCTTCCTTATCTGGCCCCTGATTTCCAAGATCTGGTTGGCGAGAAGCTCGGGTTTCCGGCAATGGCACCAGGCCCGTCTGGAGCAGACGCGGAACCGAAAGAGGAAGGCGCTCCTGGCTTCCCTTGCCAAGAGTGACCTGGAGGGCGAGGAGATCGACGCTGCGCTGAGAACCTACATCGGTGCACCTCGGACGTTACTTGGGTCCCTTCGTGCGATGGTATCCGATGGCCTGACACTGGCGACGCACCGATTGGGGCTCGCATCCGTCTTGTCCAGCTCGGTTGTCGAAAGCGAGGATGTCGCCATATGGGCTCGACTTCTCGAGGTCGAGACCTCGCTCGGTCCCTCTGCTCAACCTTCCCTGGTGCAGAGAATTCAGACCGTGATGAGGGTCAGCGCCCTCACTCCAAAGCTCAGCCCACTGGCCGCAGCGGACTCACTCGAAGGGTCCGCCAGGGTCCACGCCACTCTGGCGCTCGCCTGCTCAAGGATCGGGAGCGAAATTCCTTTCGCAGGTGATTACGCCGAGGCGCATTGGGACGAAGCCCGACAAACCATTCGCAAGGACAGGCGGAGGACCTCTGTTCCGGTTGAGGAGGCAGGCGAGATGGATGGGTCGGACGCGGAAGGAAGCGAAGCCGACGACGACGACGGCAGCTCTACCATCGGCCCGAGAGCCTCATCAAGAGATCCGTTGTCGGACACTTGGCTCGAGACGGTCCTTGACCTCGATCTCGACGATGCCCTCGATCTCGTCGCCTCACCGTCCGAGGTCGAGGTATCGCTCTCTCGCTTGGGCGAGGCCAAGAGGTACCAGCTTTCGCCGCTCATCTCAATCGCTGATGCCTTTTACTCGAGGGAGCTCAACATGCTCTGGTCGACCCTTTTTTCAAGCATCACGCGCTGCACCTGCCCAGGTTCCCAGCCGACCGCTTCCCTTTCACTCTCGTCTCCGAGCGGGCGTGATGCCACCGCTTCGCCCCTCTCTACGGTTCGAAGCTTCTATCGACACCAGATGCATTCCCATCTTGACCTGGACATTATCAAAGACGCTCCGTCGCGCGACGAGATGAACAAGAGGGTGGCCATGATCGCCTCCAGTGTGCCCAAGGGTACGACGAGCTGGATCCTTTCAAGGGTCACGTTGGCCACTTGGGCTCTGGCGTTGGGCAACCTACCCATAGCTTCTCACATCGCTGGCGAGCTCTTGGAACAGAGAGAGGCGGAAGGGCCAACGACGTGCCCGTCGTCATCGCCTGCGCCAACTTGTCCGGTCAAGCTCTCGAGCTCGGCACACCAACTGGTCAAGCTCGTCCTAGGTCCGGGCACGTTGTCCGAGACGGACGAGCCCTCGCCGCTCGACCAGGCTGACGCGCTCGCAGCGT